GTATATATTAAAGTTAGATTTAAATACCAAAATCAATTATACTACAAACCCAGTGATAGATTAAAAATTAACCTTAAATACACATAACTTGATCATGCCGATAGACCATAAATAGGGTAATTGACATGACATTATGCGGACATTACTGATATCGTCTGTATTGATATTATGAATAATCTTTTGGATATTATTTGTTGATAGAGCCTAATTAAAATAAATAAGAAATGTTGATCTAGGGGAGAAAAATGCCTGAAAACGAACTGACCACAAGAAACACAGTCTCCAACCTAAATGGGATCCTTCAAGCATCAAAGATCTATCTGATCACAGCCATGGTTAAATTTCCCCTTGTAATTTCAAAGAATGGAATATTAAATGGAGTCATGTCAATATTTTTGATAGGAGGAATAATATCAAGCTGTTCAAACTTACTGCTTTCAAGAATTTCACAAAAGACCAACAACACGTCGTACATGGCTATTTCAGAAAACACAATGGGTAAAAAGACGCACATGTACGTGAGAACGATCTCGTTTCTATTCCGATGTATGATAGTCTGTTATTCGGTAGACCTGAGCTTTAGATTTCTCAGTAGTTCATCGTTAATATCATCGACGATGCAGACGAGCAGACTTCTGCCATTGTCAATCCTGGGAATAGTGCTGTTTCTTTCAACACTCATTTTGTCCAATCCAAACTCTTACTCTTTTGGAAGATCTAGGAATACGATCAATTTCTTAGTACTTTGTGTATTGACTTATGCCTTCTCAATAAAAAACTACAAGTCAAATATACAAGATGTGCGTATTGAAAACCACTCCAAGAAATGCTTTGATAGTCTTGGGCTTACTTGTGCATGCTTTGCACAGCAATTGGGCCTGGTTGAGATTCTATCGAGTGAAACCTTTCAAAGCAAAACGTCAATATTTTGCAGTGGCATATTAGCCTCCTTGGGCTATATTATCGTTGGGGTGTCAGGGTATATTGGCATGCCCAGTCCCGATGTAAACTGGCTTTCAAATGTTGAAAATAGTCTAATCAGAACACCCAGCTCATTAATATTACTTCTTTCAAACATTTTTACATTTCCGTTACAGTTAGATCCAATTAGGAGAGAAATTCAAAGCACACTATTTGTAACTAGTTCAAAATCCAAAGACATTATGACCAATCTACTACTGACACTGGCTTTTATACTTACCAGCATTGAGTTTGTTGCATCAAAATACGGCATAATATGCTGTGTAATTTTGTCATCGTTTATAACGATGATTTTTCCTAGTGTATTTTATCTAAAAACATTTGAAAGAAACACTCTCCAAGCATATGGCTTGTTGGCTGTTGGCATTTTGACTCTGTTTGTAGGCTTGAGGAACCTCATCAATGCACATATTCAATAAAAGAGTGCTGTTGATTTTAATGAATTGCTGTATATAAGCAGGTCTATTTTATTAAATCCATTTACGTCTTAACTTATCTTTAATATTTACAACACATTCTATAAACCCAAGCTTTTACACAAATGACAGGTTGAATAGCCAATACTGTCTTTGACACTGCCTGTGCTAGCGGTTATTTGCAGGACATGCCAAACCATGAACTATTTGATTTTTCCAATGACTGCAATACCAAAGTTGTGGTTTCTATCTTTAATGTCGTAGCATGAAGGTCTACAGTCATTATACGACACATCAATGCATTTTTAAGTAGCAGCCATGTCGCTTAGTTTGTTCGTCTTTTCCAAATTTCAGAAAGAAATTTAATTAAAAATTAAGACACAAATTTGCACGATGCTGGCCAAAAATCTACAGCAATGTTTCTCTTTTAACGTCACAGTGCAGCAAGAATGCTGTTTGTATGCATTTTGCCACATTTTCTTGACTGTAAACGCTTCGACCGTGCTCACAACAATATTTACTAGCAAGCTGCAAGTATGCTACAAGGCCAGTAGCATCAATCTATCTATGTGTAAATAAGTGCTATTTAATCAACTGTCTCATTGCATGTGAGCATTGGACTTTGGCTTTTTACATTTTAAACTGTTCAGTATTTATTTGCTTTTCTACTAAGCTCAACAAGCTTCTCAATCGCCATCTGCTCCATGAAATCCTCTTCTGCGATCAAGTACGGTTCTACTTCTTTCTGCGACTCGTGGAGCTCCTCAAAGTACTCCAACGGTATCTCTCTTTGTTTAATCTTTGATACAACCTTAATTCTCTTACTTTTTAGCAATTTTTCTTTTTCGTTAAATACAATCCTCTTTTTTTTGATCTTTTTAAGCTCGTCCTCAATCCTACTCAGCTTCCTTTTGAACTTCTGTACTTCTTGCTGCATACCTTTCTTGCTCCTTTGTGACAGCTTTGTCTCTCCTACACTCATTAAATTAGTGCATTCTGAATTTTTGAGCCTCTCGCTATTCTCTGAAAAATTTTCAATTAAAACAGAGGAGCGGTACTTGTGTGCACCAGGCATCTGCATAGCACCATGTAGGCTCTCCTCGGGGACAGTCTGCATTACTGCTTCTCCTAAGCTGCTTGCATTAAAAAAGTCCTTTGGAACATCTACAGGGCCTTCAACACATCCCCTGCCAATATTCATACTGGCCATACTTGCACGTGTTTTATTCCTCAGCATAACACTCGTAGTCGCCACTTCTTTCAAACCTTGATCTTGGAGTTGTTTTTTCGACATGGGGATTTTATATTTTCAAATAAAATTTTATTTTCAAATTTTATGAAAGTTTTGGGAAGTTTAAATTTTTTGCATTATTAAACCTAAACAGAAGGCAAAACAAATAAAGAACAAGTCCCGGCAAAGACTGCCAAGAGCGGGGCCAAAGCCCGTCCTGCTTTGTGGCGTTGCATGCTCCAAACATTTAATCAACAAATAAATTTAAAGAAAAGTATTTTGAACTGAAGATGAGGCTTGAAAGTGAGGAATTAAACAAAATAAGACCTGATATTGAAAAATAGATGCAAGACAGCAAGGGCAGGTCCTTCGCAACAGCAAATAGTTCAGCATTTGGAATTTAACATAGACGTTGCCGAGTTTGATGAAGAAAAGTGTAAGCGAAAATCTTATACAAAAAAGAATGTAAAATTAGAGAAAATTGATCAATTAAATTTTATTTCCAAAATTCTGATCATTGAAACTGTAATCACAAAATGTCAAAAAAAGTTGTAGAATGCAAAATTCCCTTCCAGACGTGCAAAGAAAAAACTTTTTGAAAAAAATTTGTGGGAAATGCCTGCAGACAAAAGTAAAATCAACCTGGTGGCATTTTTGCACCAGGGCTTCGAGTCTTTGCCAAAGCTAAAAACAAAGACAACCATGCAAGCTAATAACGTAAATTGAAAGCGCTTTATTACATTTTCATAAACCTCTTCACCATTTCCTCTTCTAGTTTCAATAGCTCCTCCTCTTTAATCTCCTTCCATTCCTTTTCAGTCTCAATCACCTTTTCGTGGAACTTTGCCAACATGTCTCTAACTGAATTTTTAATCTTATCTGCAATCCATCCAAAAACCATGCTGTTGATTGTAACAGTAATCAGTTTGTAGACGTAGCAGAATGGCTCTCTGCCCTGTGATAGATCGTAGACTTGAACCTTCGAACCTTCGACCTGGAAAACACTGTCCTCTTTTTCGCTCTTGACCAATGTTTTGATTGATAGTGTAAAGGTATTTGAGTCATAATGCTTATTAACATATGACGTCTCGCAGCTACTTGAGACGGTAGAAAATGTTGAATCATCCATTTGAGTACCCTTGCTCTTCAACTTTACTGTCATTTTCTTATCGACACCATCTTCTAGATTCTCAGATTTAATATCCTTCAATGGATCTTTCGAATTTTCTATACCTTTCACTTCCTGTACTTTTTCTACGTCCATCTCTTTGAGAAGCCCCTCTGTTTTGATCTTCTCTGTGGTTACCACAACTTCCTTGTCAGACTCGTCATTACATAGCAGTTTAATTACATCAATATTGGTCGAAAACTCTTCCACAAGCATCGCGTTTTCATTCAAAATCTTCCTAACAACACCCGGCAGCCATTTAGACATGTTTAGAATCTTATGCGACTCTGTCACAATCGATCCGTCGCCTTTTCTCTGCTTGATATCCAGGATCTGAACGTCATCTGTAGTATACTTTGCCAGAACGTATCTCTGGCCTTTTCTCCACTCATGCACGGTGTATGGAACTTTAGTTCTGTATTCCCTTACTTTGGTAGTCATAGACCAGGGAGAATGCGAAACAAAAATAATAAATGTTTTGGTTTTGAATTGGATGAAACATGAGTTTGTGTTTTATCTTCACACCTTGGTACTGAAGATCTTTGTTTTGTTTTGATAACATCGTAATGTTTATTTTTAGCTATTTGACATTTTAATATCTAGAAGCCGCATACGTTGCCAAAATTTAGATGACACTTAAAACTTGTTTGCATCTGTAGGGCAACAATAAAGAAAGCAGAGGTATCATCAAGATACATCAAATATTCTACATCACACATGTCTTTGAATCCCTCAGATTGAAGACTATATGATTCTTTACTTTTTAAAATTTTTATCCCATGCAAAAAGAGAGTGAACATTCACAGACTCTGCCACACATGAACTACTGCAATGTAACTGCCACATTCTCCGGAATTGGCAATATTATTCTTGATGTTAACAGTGTTGTGCTCACTGCAGTGGACCGGTACTCATTGAACATAGAGCAGTGCCCTTTCCAGACAATTTTTCTCCATTTTCAATACATAGTTCAAAACCTCAAGCAGTATCAATTAAAGGATGTGCTTTTCTTCTATGAAATAACTGAGAATCCATATTTTAATCTTGCAATTTCGATGTTGGATGACGGTACCTTCATAACCTTCGACAAGATTCGAGACACACTTGAGAATACAAGAATTGCATTTGCATTGTGCTGCTATAAACGATCCAAGCTTAATGATTTTCTATCATCATCTGGTCTCTATGTAGGACTGTTAGATATGCTTCTTTTTGAGGTTCCTTTTATATTCACACTGGTTTCCAGTCCAAAGGAAGTAATTGATCCGGAAGCCAACTACACAAGTGCCTTTTCAAATGATGTGTCTTTACACGATCAGTCTGGCAGTGCTTTAGTTAGTTCCAAAGCATATAATTTTGACATTTCCTTAATGGCCAAAGAGTTTTTTAATTTCTCTGAAGAATGGATCTATGAGGCAGGAAACTTCAAAATTGACAAGGAAATGGTCTATTCAATGCTGAAGCACAACTTTTCCAAAAGTATTCTTGATAAAATATATTTTGATGGTAGAATATTTAAGGGTTTAAGAAGAAAAAGAACAAAGCCATCAGATATTGATGCAAATAGTATTGATAGAAGCATTCTGGACATAAGGACTGAAAAGCCCTGGTCTGGAAAGGACCTAGATCTCATAATGCCGGCCATTCCAGAGCAGATCTCCATGAAGCATCTCGCAAACATCAGAAGATCAGCAATGAGTCTTTATGACGGAAAATTTCATTTCAGTACAATAGTGAGGGAGTCAGCTGAAAAGCCAAAGAAAGTTAGTGGGAAGATGCTTAAAATAATTCAGGAAAACGAGGAAAGGATTAGAAAAGAAAAAGAGCAAGCGGATAATGTTTGGCTTAGGAACTTCTATGATGCATATGTTAAAGTGCCTAATTTAAAAGGCAAAAAATCTATGCTGGAGAAAATCAAGATCAATAACGACTATATCAACAGGAGATTGCTACTTTTGAAAATCGAGCTTTACTCTGATATTTGGAATTTAGAAACAAGAAACGAGGAGGTTGATGAGAAAGTCTTGGTTCCATTGTATCTTTCATGTCTCAAATACATTGAAAACTATGTGACAAAAGCCAAGTATAATAAAAATGAGCTTGAGTTTGTTATTACAAAACTTGTGGAGGCTAGATTTGAGGCCACTGCTCTTGAAATTCTTGAAAAGCTTGAGATAAAACTGAATATATCCTTCAGTCCCAATGCCACATCCGCTCCCAACGACTTGGATCTTTATTTTCAGCTGAAATATGCCGGAGATCATCTCAAGAGAACACTTGGTACACGCAAGGATAAAAGAGTGCCATTTGATCCTGATCAGTGGCAGGTAAACCTGCTAGATGCTGTAGATGCAAACAAATCTGCCATAGTTTCTGCACCAACTTCTTCTGGAAAGACATTCATATGCTTCTACGCCATCGAAAAGATTCTTAGGAGCAGCGACACCGACATGGTTGTGTTCTGCCTTCCCACAAAAGCACTAGTCAATCAGGTTTCTGCAGACATATACGCTAGATTTAATTCAAAAAACATTAAAGTTTCTCTTCAAGGCACTCTTATGGCGGATAGATGTAACGACCCATTTAACTGTCAGGTGCTGATAACCGTGCCGGCGATGTTAGAGTCATTGTTAAATAGCAAAGATTGTTCTAATATTAAGTACATTATCATTGACGAAGTACACAAGATTAATGACAGTTCCCTTGGATTGAGGATTGAAAGGATCATACATCTTGCAAAGTGCCCACTTCTTCTCCTTTCTGCCACTCTCGGAAATCTAGATGGATTCTACGATTGGTTTAAAAACATCGAAAATTCTAAAGGCCGTGAATGTGAGCTAGTGTACCATGGAGAAAGATATTGCGAGTTAAAATCTTATGTATATACTGAGAAAAAGTTCATTGAGGATGAAGAGGAGGTTGACGAGAATAATCTCAAGGATATTCCCATCAAGCCTGCATTTGTGCCCCTGAATGGTATGTTCCCATATTCCTTCTCACATCTTAAAAATTTTGGATTTGGCAATGATTTACACTTCTTACCCGAAGAGCTTCTAAACATCTACCTTTATATTTATATGATCTTGGATGCATCACATAAGAAGCTGATAAAACACTTAGCACCAAAAAAGTTTTTCCAAAGTAACATCATCTGCAAGGCCGATATCCGTGAGTATCAGAATCACCTTCTGACTACATTTAGGAGCTGGGTCAGCGAAGGCATCCTCAATGAAAAGCAGGTTGAAGAAATACACAATCTTCTTACTGCCGAGGCACACGATGCATTTAATTTTGACTCGTCTGAGAATTACATTGTTGACAATATTATGAAGCTTCTAAACACACTTAAAGACTCTGACATGCTGCCTGTTATTGTTTTCAATACTGATCGAGACTTTGTTACAAGGCTAGCAAGGCTGGTGTATGAAAAATTGGAGAAATCTGATATTAAAAAGAAGAAGGATAAGCTTATGGAATCACTAAAGAAAGAGGCCAAAAGGACACGGGATTTGGAGAAGACGAAGACCTCTTGGATTGAAGAATCCATTGCTGCGGAACAGATGATTGAACCCGAGCAGAGAGACATCAGGTTTACCTTTTTGGATCCAATCACAAAGCTTACGGACTATGAAGTTAAAGAGGAGTTTGCAGATATTAAAGGCATACCAAAAGACATTCTAGACATGGCATTTAGGGGGATTGGAATTCACCATTCTGCGATGAACAGAAAGTACCGATCAGCCGTCGAGATTCTCTTTAGAAAAAAGCATATTAGGGTTCTCTTTGCAACGGAGACACTAGCCTTGGGTATTAATATGCCATGCCGAACAGTTGTATTTGCCGGGGACTCACTTCAGCTCGATCCCATGAATTATAAGCAGATGAGCGGGAGAGCGGGAAGACGAGGGTATGATACTCTTGGCAATGTTGTATTTTTTGGCATTCCAAAGCATCGGGTCCAAAACCTAATGGTAAGCATGCTTCCTGAAATACAGGGCGCCTATGTATATAGCAACACCAGCCTGGTTTCTTTCAACATTGAGGATTCCCTGGTGAAATATCCCCTACTGTCAGCAAACAGGGACTACCTGAGGATTAAAGAGATTAAAGAAGAGCTAGAAAACCTAACAACCAGTGCCGTCAAGGATTCAAAACACAGGAGTGCCAATATTGTTACTACTCTAGATGTTTTGAATACGCTGGAATCGAGAAAGACTCTTGTTAATTACCAAAAGTCTATCTATTCCCATATCTTCCCATCGAACTATCTTTGGGATTTATTTATCACCAACCGTGAGTTTGACCCCTCAATTTTCATATTTGCTGTTCTATTCGAAAGCAACAAAATTGCCTGGACGTCAGATGAGTTTATGAACGTGGTTGCACATCTTTTTGAAGTACGGCTTGTTCATCCACAGTTTGAATATTCGCTCAAGCCACTTTCGGACGATCTTGAAAGATGCATCTCCCAGATAAACATGATCTATTTGCATGACATTAGTAAATTCTATCCGCCTGTGCTTAAAGTGCTGCAAGGGCAGACAAGAAAGCCGCTGTTCTACCTCAATTCGCTGTTGTACACTATTTCTGAGAAGAAAAACTCATATATTTTTGATTTCTACCAGCACGGATCCAGCTTTAAAATTAGAAAGTATAATTTAATAACGGAAGGCGAGCTTTGGCAATCATTGAACAACATTGAAGCTTTTTTCAAAAGCTTTATTTGCTTATTAGAAACATACTACGGGGCCCAAGATGAAAGATTAAAGAAGGTTAGACTGATATATGCAGAGTTTAACAGGAAGTTCCAACAAATTTTTGCTTAATTAAAATGGTTTTGTCGAAGCTGTGCAGTGTTTCTACTGATATATTCTGCAACATGGATTGCAGATTTAGGTCGGTAGATGATGGGGATGCATCATATGCAACTAGGCTTTGTTTTAACATGATTTTAAGTGATAGCTGTTATGTGGAATCAATAAGGCCCATTGTTGATGGTAATGATTGTCCAATCAGAGAGAGTAGCAAGCAAACTATTATTTAAACTCAGTGCAGGAATTTAACTCACAAATTTATTGAGCTATTTTAGTTTTTCGCATTTACTCAAAGTGCTTTAAATGCCAGTTTGGTGACTAATGTTCTCTTCAAGATTAATGAAGAAATCCATATTGTATATCTTTTTTGAGAAGAGCTGTCGGTGATGCAACCAATGCCCCTTATGAGACTGACAGGGGTATTTAGCGTTTCCAAGATATTAGTAAGCACCATGGTAGTGATGTGAAACGTAAACAAGGCTACGGCAAAGGCAGACGTGTTTCTACACTGGTAAATGCCTCAAAAGTATAAGTATATTAGCTTTAAAAATTTTTTATTTTTTATCCTCATGGACCAAAAAGAAACCACCGCTGCTCGCACCATCTCACCAAGGCTTTTATACACCACACTCATCACAGTACTTCTTCCGTTTATTTACGGCATCGAACTGCTTAGCATTCAAGCTCTTCCCACAGAGATTTCTGCAAACTTCAAAAAGTTGAGTAGTAGATTTGATTCAAACAGTTTTTGTATTGTATTTTTTGCCGCTTTTCTTTCCAATATAGTTGTCTACAACATTCGTGTTGACAGTAGAGTAACTCTCTCTCTTAGTGCTTTATCCTTCTCATTCTCTGCTTTATTTTGCTATTGTACAGAATACTTATATTTGTTCTATTTAGGTAGATTTCTAATAGGGTTTGCTGCTGGAATAATTGCTAGCACCATGCCTTGCTATCTTAGCTTGATTTCTCCAATAAATGTCAGGGGAATGTTCTCCTCACTTTATGGTATAGGTCTTGTCGGAGGATTGCTGTTTATTAATGCAACATTTTCGTTCTTTACGGAGCACTATCACAGCATAATGCTAGGAATTGCTGGCGTATTCTTTGTATTCCCGGTATTACTATCATTTTCTGTTCCCTTTAACAACTCCTCGCTGAAAGATGGAAAAAGTTCTTTACTCTCACTGCTAGTAAATCCCAAGGCATTGAAGTCTCTAATATTTTCTGCATTCTTCCACATTGTTCAAAACTTGTGTGGAATCAATCAGCTGTCTCTCAATGCACGTTCTATCTATGGCGAGAACTTCCAGTACCACGTAGTGCTATCTCTTCTTATAGGATTGCCAGTTACTATTCTATCAGGATATCTTCTTGAGCACTTTGGAAGGAAATCGCTGATTCTTACATCGTCTTCCATCACATCCATTTGCTGTGTAGCCTTTTATCTGCATTTTCAAGTTTTCTATGCCTCGTACCTGTTCTCCTTTGGATTTAACATTGGTCTGAGTGGAATACCATATGTAATTCTGAGCGAGGTGTTTCCACAGGAATATGTGGCACCTGGAGCCATATTTGCTACTTCTTGCAACTGGATCAGTGCTATGATATCGATGTTTATTCCTCAAGGGTCAGTCGAGGATCAATACAACCCGGTTTTCATAGGATATTTTTTTGTTACGCTTGCATTTATTTTGTTTGTATCATTCTATTTCAAGGAAACAAAGAACAGAATACCAGCATTCCAGTAAATGAATTTTAACCACCACATACTGTTTTTGTACATTCATGCATTTTCTTGTTTAAATTTGCATCAACGTATAGGATCATCGCTTCAGTTGCACTAACAGGTACGTTGTACTTTTGAGTAGTGCAACCTCCTTGTGTGATGAAGATAATAGTATTGCATTTACTACGTATTATTCAATGTTTATATTTTCAAATAGACTCGTACTCACTTTACTGTAGCCCAATACTCAATGGATTTTGAAAAAGAATACGTCCATAGATTTTACAGTTATAAAGCCCAGCAATTCTCAAACTCAAGGGCAAAGCCGTGGCCATTCACGGCACAGTTCATTAAAGAGCAAATAAAATCCACAGATCTTGTCTTGGATGCAGGCTGTGGAAATGGAAGGCAGTTTCTCCATCCAAACACAATAGGGCTTGATTATTCTGCAAATCTACTGCGGAAAGCCTCAAACAAGCCAAACATTGGACTAGTTCAAGGAGACATACACACCTTACCTTTCAAAAACGATGTGTTCGATGTAATTCTGAGCATTGCAGTAGTTCATCATCTATGTTCGCATGAAAGACGGGCAAACTGTTTATTCGAAATGAAAAGGGTGTTGAAAAACAAGGGAAAATGCCTGCTCTACGTCTGGCACAAAGAAGCGTCAAGAAAAACCAAGTTTTCGGCTATTGATGGAAGTCAGAACGAATATTTTGTAAGTTGGAGAGGAGAGGAGGATATACTCAGATACTATTTCCTATTTGACGAAGAATCACTTGAAAACCTTGTAAACGAGGCAGGCTTTAAGATATTAGAAATGAACAGGGAGCAGGAAAGTATTTATGCAGTATTAGAAAATGAAAAATAAAACAATAAATAGCATAGCCATACGCATTTGTAATTTAGTTATATCCATGCTGCATACAGATCTAGTCTTTCCTACTTCTTGCCTTGACAATCCTCAAGTGGTATGCACAGCTTATGCGGTAGTTCTCAATGCTGAGGAATGTTGGTAGTACTTCGACACTCTTGTAAGCCATAACTGCTCTGAAATCGTCATTGAGGTTGTCTCGGTGACAGGAACATTAGAAGACCTAGATATTGCCTTGTACTTGGCCAGAGTCACACGCACCATGCTAGTTGCATCTCTATCCTTCTTTTGTCTCTTGATTGGCATTGGAGTAAAAATCTTCAAAAGAAATTGAAGTCTGACTGTTGAGAAAAGGATTCGTTGCTGAAGCTGTTCCATAATAATATGGACATTACGCACCTAAAAACTTAAAAGTGGATGTTGCACGATAGCCTAATAAAGAGCGTAGAGATATTTGCTATTTGCAGACGACAGCTGGAAATGTAAATTTAAATCAAAGAAAATATGAGCAGTTTGATAAAAACTACAAGAAAGGCTAGCATACTATAAACTTGCATATATTCTCTATGGATATTGATGGATTAATGTAGACGGCAAAGCTTCAATGAAAGATACTTGCAGATAGAACTGTCAGCATAGACTACATGGGCGATTAGTACTAAACTGAAAACAATATGACCTTAGTACAACTGGACGTTTTGCTTCTTTCCTTTGATCTACCCATGGAAGAGTTTGAAGGCGGATTTCTCCAAAGTTCCCAGAAACATGAATACACAGGAGTAAAGACACTCAGATGTCTCTCTAACAAGCAGATAAATAGTATTAGCACAGACGATTCATCATCGGTACCAATTGTTGATCGATTTGAGGTTTCCAACGTGCAAGTCTGTGGATATGTGACATCCTTCAAGAAGATTTCAACAGGTTTTATCTTTGAGGTAGATGATACCACAGGCAAGATTGAGTGTGCCTTTTGGACCAACGGTTCTTTTGAGGAGCTTTCTGCGGATCAAATCAAGGAAGGGGCTCTCTTGAAACTGACAGGATCTATTAAGATATTTGCTAGTAAGAAGACACTGAATGTATCCACCATATGTACTGTTGACGGAAATGCATTGACCTACCATCTGACCAGTTGTCTGTACCAGCACCTATTCTTCACAAATAAGCTTGAGAGGAAAGATGAAAGACGACCAAGCATAGGATTTTCAAAGATACAGAATGATATCCTGGAGGTATACAAGAACAACCAAGATAGCGAGGGGCTGGACATTGAGGTGGTGGTGGCAATGCTACGTGACAAGTACAGTGAGAGTGATATTAGAAATACCGTTGAGGGATTGCTGAGCAACTGTCATTTGTACTCGGTGGATGGAACTTGTTACAAGACGACTATTTAAAATAAATGCACGTCTTTTAGAAAAATGTAGTTGTTTTCTGAAGTGTCTAACAGCAAATCTGGCTTTGTTGTAGTTTACTTCTAGCATTCTTCCTCCGTGCAAAAACTGCTAATGTTCTAGCTCAACGAATGCATATTGTTTGGATTTATAAAGACATAGACTTTTCTCCTCAACCCGGTTAGCTCAATCGGTAGAGCATCAGACTCTTAATCTGAGGGCTGCGAGTTCGAGTCTCGTACTGGGTGTTTCGGTTTTTATGGGAATTTGCATGGCCAAGCCTGTGATTTTCTATTTCTGCAGGCTGTTGTATTATTTTATTTGCCAACTGGGCGACTTGTTTCAATCACAAAGCCCATTCAAGAACAATCCCAGCGCTTTGCGAATATCCAAGTTTTACACTCCTTCCCCATGGAATACCATGCCAGCGAAATAAAGTCCATTGACCTCATTGCAAACGACCGGGTTATAAGCGAGGAGACGCTTGGGAAAATGTTTGTGGAGTTTGTAAAGGAATTTAAAACAACACACAAGTCTTACCTCAACCAGCTCCACACCAATCTTGCCCAAAACATCTTTTCTTTAAATATTCAACTTGAGCACATAGGACTGTTCAACCAGGAATTGTTCAACAGACTGTTGGCAAACCCCGAATCAACCATTCAAGTATTCGAAAGAGAGGCATGCTCCCATTTTCAGCTAAAGAACTTTCAAATACTCTTCAGCAGTGCTGGAAATTGCACAAAAATAAGGAATCTCTCTGCTTTAAAGTCCAATAAAATAGTAAAAATCCAGGGAATTGTTGTGTCAGCATCTTCAATTGTAACCAAGCCCAAGGAGCTATATGTGACATGCAGGAGCTGTCTACAGAGCAAGATGGTAAGGGATATAATACCCAGATCCTGTGATACCAGTACCAAATGTCCTATTGACCCGTATATTATTATACCTGAAAAGAGTGTTGTGTCTGACGTGCAGTATGCTAAGATCCAGGAGAATTTTGAGGATATTCCAACAGGAGAAACACCCCGACACTTCAGTATTATATTGGAAGGGTCTCTTGTGAATAAAATCAGCCCAGGAAACCAGGTGAAGATCACAGGAATATATTCAATAAGAAGTTCTGAGGAAAAAAGCTTTTCGTTTCTGAAGGTGCTTGGAGTTGAAAATTCAAAATCTAAGATAAGGACCATATTCACCGAGGAGGAGGAGGCGTTGTTTAAGCAGATGGCCAAGGAGGACATTTATGAGAAGCTAGCCAGGAGTATTGCACCGGGTATTTATGGACATGAGGATGTTAAGAAGACACTAGCATGCATGCTGTTTGGCGGAACACGACGAGTGAGGGAAGATGGGATAACTCTGAGAGGAGACATAAATGTTCTTCTACTGGGCGATCCTGGGGTTGCTAAATCACAGCTTCTGAAGTTTATGGAAAGCGTCACTCCTATCGGTGTTTATACCTCTGGCAAGGGTAGTTCAGCTGCTGGTCTTACGGCTTCTATAATCAAGGATAGGAATAACGAATTCTACCTCGAGGGTGGCGCATTAGTGCTAGCGGACGGTGGAATATGCTGTATTGATGAATTTGATAAAATGAATGAGCAAGACAGAGTGGCAATCCACGAGGCTATGGAACAACAGACTATTTCTATTGCCAAGGCAGGTATTACTACGGTTCTTAATTCTAGAACAGCTGTATTGGCAGCAGCTAATCCGGTGTTTGGCCGCTATGATGATTTTAAAACACCGTCTGAGAATATTGAATTTGGAACGACGATTCTTTCTAGATTTGACTGCATTTTTATAATTAAGGATAAGTGCGGATCAGAGGATAGGATTATGGCAGAGCATGTGCTAAATCTACACAAGCAGGACAGCAACGGCAATAATGCCAGTGGTGCCATTCCTGTTGATGTTGTTAGAAATTATGTACAGTACGCGAAATCTAAAGTGTTTCCTACTCTTTCTGAGGCTGCCTCGTCCAAACTGAATAGGTTCTATGTTGACATTAGAAAGCAGGTAAGTGGGTATGAAGAAAAGGGTGCCAAGAAGGGCACAATTCCCATTACGGTGAGACAGTTAGAGGCCATTATCAGATTGAGTGAAAGCTTGGCCAAAATGGAGCTGTCCTCGGTGGTCACCACCAAGCATGTTGATGAGGCCATCCGTCTCTTCCAGGCTAGTACGATGAATGCAGTAGCTCAGGGCCATATTATTGAAGGCATGGCCAGGCCAGAATATATGTCTGAGATTGAAAGCATTATTGAAAAGATTGAGCGCTCGATGCCAGTGGGTACGACAGTTAGGTTTCACGAGTTGCTGCACAGTGTAAACTGCAGTGAGGCATTGGTAAGAAGGGCTATTGATTTTATGGTCAAGCAGAACAAGCTGATTAGTAAGGATTTTGGCAAGATGCTGATAAGGAGGCCGTGAATAGTAAATTGACAGTATAAATCTAATTCATTATTTTTTACTCTTTGTCAAGGAATAGTATTTAAGAGATTAGGTAGGCCTCTTGAAATGCGTGCATAATAGCGCGGGATTTTCAGTAGCTTCTTGTATTGTTATACATGCTAGCCCAAAATGGAGTCCGCTCGCAGAGATTGGGTCGCACTGCTTGTATGTTCTATAGTTGTGTCTTCATAATACTTCATACTTTTGTACATAAGTTTCCTTGGTGTAGTGGTTATCACGTCCGCCTAACACGCGGGAGGAGACGAGTTCGATCCTCGTAGGAAACATGTTTTTAGCCATTCTAACAAATAGAAGATATGTCTGAGCCATGGGGTTATAAAACACGGTGGTGCTTGTAAAGCTCAACCCAAGTACACTAGACACTAGCTGTGACGCATTACACCAGCATAATAAACACAAACAATCTACCTTTTTATTCACTCTGCGATTATTTCTCCGTGCTTCATTTTACTTGACAGCTTCCTGTAGTTAACCATTCCATCTTCAACACATCCTCTCACAAGGTATTCATACTGTTCCTTTGAAATTGGATTGCCTTCCTCGGTCATCCATCTTTTTAGAAAATTGCTGTCAATCAGTCCATCGTTGTCTTCATCAAAGATTCTGAATGCTTCAATAATTTCCCTTTCACTATCAATCTCAGAGAGCCTTTCGCCGATGACTGTCAGTAGGACAATGTACGTAGGATTGGGCTCCAGTTCTGCGATCATTTCCTTTATTTGATCTTCTGAATAGGGGCTTCCTATGCTTTCTAGGAACACTGTCAGATCCTGAACGCTAAGCTTCGAGTCGCAGTCTCTGTCCAGAAGTATGAATGCTTCTTTGAGTTCAGTAAGCTGGTTCTTTGTAAGCATATTGAATACATTTGAATTTTGTCTTGTTTTTCTTCTTTGGTGCTGCAATGGCATATTGTTGATGGGTTAGATTACAATACATAAAGGCTTATACAAGGAAGAAGCATGCTTTAAATATGAAACTTGATTGTTCATGGATGCGCCAGACAATACAAGTTATATATAAAGTTCAAAGATGGGATGTATGTGCTTAAAGAATAGCTTCTATTTACAAGCAAGTGAGCCAATAGATTTGAACTGGCACGACTTCATCGCAATATTGAGAAGTCGAAGGCAGTCAAGGACAGTCTTGAGCCATATGCATAGTGATGTGAAAACTTTATATTTGAGCCAATATTTTCTATTTACTTTTTTTTAAAAATTTAATTTTTTGTTTAAAAATTTTTCGCTTTTCTTCCCGTCAATGATCAAACTGGCATGCAGTCGGCTAACACTAGTTTTAAACTTTTTATCAGCCACCTCAATTCCACGGAATGTGACCCAGACGTTCAGTCCATCAGCTGGCGGATACGAGGGCAGAAGAAGCTGTTACACTGGCGATTATAGTGGAAGATGTGCCATGGACGACTTCGAGAATGGCGAGACATCATGGAACATGATTCAGACAGTCGAAGATGTGCACCCACATTTAGGCATAAGCTCCTTGTCTGACCAGTGTAGTTACAATGAGGCTACAACTAGTAACAATCACAATGCAACTGTTTCACAAGAAGACAGGAGCAGATACAGCAGCAATGCGTACAATGGAACTACCGAGTTATCAATCCGGTATTCAGACAGCGATTTATTTGGTAAAGCATCAGAGCACAATACTGAATCCGTTGCAAACTATCTGCCATCTTATGGCCGAAGCACGGAGCTAGTGTTGCATGCACAGCCAATAAAAAGCAAGGAATGCACAGCACTATCAGTTTTTCCTGTAGCGCAGGCAGGTAATCAATCTAGAACCAGTGTTGCTTTTCCTGTTGAGGATGGCGACCCAGACAACCATATTATGAGTAGAAGTTCACCTCTACTTGGCTTCAGCAAAGATATAATGCCCGGTAAAAGTGAAAATAGCACTCTGTTTGGCACATGCAGTGTTATTGATGAAAAACAAAATCTACATCCTAGCCAATTGGAAACCGATAGAGCTGTTATTCTTAGAAATTCAACAGTCAGCCAAACAGAACCTGCTCTTAAACAGGACGCAAGCTACTTATATGAGACAGTTGAGGTAGTAAGGAAATGGTACGAAACATTAACTACCGAAGTCTCAAGACTGGTAAATGAAACACTCAATCCGCATATTGCAGATCAAAAAACTATCTCTGGATCTCCAATTATCACAGACATACTCACATGCGTAACTGTGGCAGGCATAACATTCACCATAGCGTTTTTAATTTACTGTTATACCAGCAAATACTCAAATATTTCGACAACCAATGCAAATGCTAAAGGCTTATTTTACATTTCATTCTTTACCGGTATAAGATTGATTGCTACTCTATGCTTCGGTGGATATAGTTCTATCAATGCACCCCTGGTAGGCCTATACACAACCACCGGTCTGAGTTTGCACCACTATATCCTGATTGATATCCTTTTACTTGTCTCTGTTCTCACTACGTATCTGTGTCTTAGTGATGGGATAAGCAAATACCATAATGTTAACAAGGGGTTTATGTTCTACGCCACTCTTATTTCCAGCTTGACCATGATGGCAACAGTGGTAGCACTTCTTCAAACTTATCCAATGAATGCTATTATTCTTCCATACATAGCGATTACTACCTCATTGGTGCCATTTATGATCAAGCTTATGCCTAGACTTCGTGCAATCAAGAGATATGAACAATAGTAGAGCCTAGTGTGCTGCATCAGCAATTATGCCTATAAAATAAAATTATCTCTTTTAAAGTGTACCGTTTTACGTATGTTTATGCTTATTTGGCCAAAATATTTGGTGTATAGGCTTACTGGGACCTAGTCTTAATCTCAATGGCATGGCTCTTAACCATATGCTTGGACGAAAATACATAAATCTCGCCGAACCTGATCAGCCATACAATTAAAATTTCTTTTGTGTATATCAGACAACTTTGTGATGCATCCAATGGAGATGTATGATGGTTCAAAGTCTAGGACTGTTTTTGATTCACTTAAAAGTCAATTTAATTAACAGTATGTCCCTTTAAAGCTTTGCAGCAAATAAAAAACTAGTAAACAAATATGTAAAAGCAGCCAAAAATCATTTTATTGTGACATAATTGATTTGCAAACAAATAAACAAGTGGACAACATTACAAGCCAGTGTTTGTTTGTAGCACAAACAGCATAAGCAGCAACACAATTTGTGTTTATTTGCGATTCCTTTGCGCTGTTTAGCTCTTTAATATGTTGGATAAACTTGTGCAGTTTCAATCTCCTCCAACTTTTCCATTTAAAAATTTTTCTTGACCCACCCCAGAATAAGCATGCTAATGACCATTTTGACTTTTTTGGTTTTCGCATCAAAAGCATTCTGCAATGGCGAGGATGGTGCACAACCTGTAGACGAGCAAGATACAGCACAAAACGCAACCTTCTGTGAGCAGCACCAATCTGCCGGCTGTGAACAACCGGCCGATGAACCCAGTCGAGTTTCAAACTTTATGTCTGAAAGTATGAAAGAATTTCAGATACAGATTGAAGACTTATATACCTCTCTTATGGAAGCATTAAGCAAAATACTCTTTCCTGGCGGTGAAACAGTGAATGGAGGGAGTGTTGCCATCTCCAAGCATATCAATTACGTATTTTTGTACGCTACATTAATTTGTACCACAGTGAGTGTCATTATCCTAGCCAGTTACTATTTTTCTAATGCAAAGGAAGAAATCCATTAAGAAGTAAAATCTGGCCCTCTTTCTTACTTGTTGCATTGGCAAGTTTTGTCTTGAAAATGATTGGAGTAATGATCTACCTCAAGTCACTTCCCTTCAACTATTCATTTACCAAGGCACTTGGGTTTAACATCCCTCTCACCTTCCACCACATCATGCTCATTGATGTTGTCATGGTAATATCAGTAGCTGTGCTTTGGACAGCCAGGCGAGATCTTCTTTACTTTAATCTCCGACAGAAACGAAAGCAGACGTTCTTTTTGACCGTTATTTTCAGTCTTCTTGCATATGGGCTTGTTGCCAGTTTGATTTTACTTACTCCTGTGAATGCTAGTTTTCTTCCAAAGCTTGTATTGGTGATCTCTTTGCTACCATTATTGCTTGAACTTGGAGCAAGGATGTTCTATACTCCAATTAAGCCGGGCAAAAAGATTTATGAAATGGCAAATGCTGGTGAGTATGGAAAAAATACACCCAGCTATCATAGTAAACAGTTTGTTAGTACACAGGAATTTCTTAATAACATAGTCAATAATCCACCAAATGCTTTGAACGTTGAAGCAACAATGTATTGAGTGGATCAAGTCAAAACCGAAAGAAAGGTCTATTCAAGTAATTAAATTGGCCTTCCTTTAAAATTAGTTTATCTCTATTTTCATAGATAATGTTAAACAACACTTGTGTTATTAAAGATAGATTAAAGTGTGCTGATTTTGCATGCTATTTAATTCTTTAATTATAACCGTATTCTCAGCTTGCTCAGTGTGGGCTCCTTTTCTCTGCTTCTCACTTTGGATTCTCAAATTTAAGCAGCAAGTCTGCTATGTCCACGTGGCCAAGAACCATCCTTCTACAACAGATCCTTGCCATTCCTATCTTGTTTAGAGCTTGATTTGGATGCATCCCATCTCTTAATAGCTGCAGATAATCTTCATACACATTGGCAATCAGTTTATTGCATGTAAAGCATCTCACGGGAATAATCATTGGGGTTCTTCTTTTCAAAAAACAAAGTAACGTCTAGATTTTGAAGATATCTGAGCATCGAGATTAGTTTGGCAAGAACGATTGATTTGTGCTTTACAAACTACTAACTCTCAAGTAGCCGATTGTCTGAGTTTTGCAGCCCCTGCAATGAATTTCACTGCAAAGACAAGGGAGCTGCTGACAATCCTAGAGAACATAGAAAATAGCTACAATCCCTCATCCCCGCAATACAAGTTCACATATGTCTTCTACAACATTGTGGATACTCCAGTATCAAGGCCTCTCGACTTTCCTCAGGATCTCTGGAATAGATACTACATTCCAGACGCTCCGCTAATGCCGGTCATTCTAAATAAGCAGCAGATCGAGGAAAGGAGGAAGATTCAGAGCGATTTGATTCTAAAGCTGGCCGAGTCTAAGAATGGAATTCTCAAGAAACTTGAAAGTCTCAAGTTTAAAAGGGAGATGGTGAAGAACAAGCTTCAGAATACGGTGAATAAGTTTAGAGCAAAGCTAAGAAAATATGTGTATTGCAAAGAAGATAACGACGGGGTCTATAGACTACAGACTGATGTTATTGAGAGGGACAAGCTAGTATTAAAGGAAAGAAAGGAGGACGTTCTTAGACATTTAATAAAAATGAAGGAAAGGCTAGAATTATTTGAGAAGAAAGTGTCGGAGAATATCCATGTTTTATCGGAGAAAGGTATTGTACTTGCCAGGCAGCTGGACAAGGGATATTGACGGCATTGCATTAACTAAATCATTTTACAGACTAAAATGATCAAGAATGTCTTTTAATTCAAAGAAGTCCCAATGAACGACCAGCATGGATGTCTAACTAAAATATAGCCACTGTATTTTTAAGCGCTGGGCTATTTTGTGTGGTGTTATGTTAGTAAAAATTTGCGCAAATTTTTGCGCAGCTTCTTTTGTAACTTAAAATTGGCAATACATTTTAACTGCATACAGATGTTATAGTCATTTTGCATGGTACTGCTTCTCCATCGTGCTAGGGGGCTTGATCGTACTGAAAGTTTTATTCTCCTTTTTTATTTTTATGGATTGAATTATATTTAAAGAGTCGTTATTTATTATCCCATGTATTTTTTCTTTTTGCAATGCAGCGCAATTTCATTAATTTTTAGATCAAAGAAATCAGAAGACAGTAGAGTTGACATATTCAAAGATATTGCTGATGGCACGCTGATCATACATAATATAACCAATAATAACACTGCTGATCTTGATGACGAACGACGCAAAGAGTTTGCAAGATCACTGTCTGAAATTAGCGCTCAACCAACCACACCTTTCAACTTAATGATATTGTTGAACTTCCAGTCTGCCATTTTGGCCGGGATTCTCTTTGATTATCAAAGGGTTAATTCACTTTACAAAGTTGAGGTTATAATCGATGAATTGGCCTGGGCATATTCAAAATCATTATTTGGTGGTTCATTTGTGAATATTGCACCTTTTGAATCCGACGATCTGTCCCTATATCTTTTCTATTTATTTATTTATAAGAAATCTGTTAGACTAGGGAATACTCCTAATCTGTTGTCCAGCTCACTAAATCCCGATATCTTTATTTCATTACTTGAAAGCAGCTCTAAGACTAGAACGCAGGCAGAGACCTTTGTTAAGATCTTTAGGCATTCCAAGCCAGACATCAAATGCGATTGTCTGATACAATTCTTTGAGCTTTGTGAAGCTTTCATCAGCTCATGCAACTACTGTGTATCAGAAGGATGGTTGGAGTCGATTATACAAAAATATTCCAAAAAGGAGAACTTAAATATTAAGCTGCTCAAAGATCAAATTGCTGATTTTACACAATGCGTTAAAATCTTAAAAAAACAGCTTGGCGATGTGAGGAATGAAATACTGGTCTGGGAAGCTTTGCCTCAGTATGTTAAGGTTGATATTGATGATGTGAAAGGCAGCGATGAAAGCACCATGCCAAATCCATCAATCCAAGATATTAAGCCTGAATTAGGTGGAAACGAATCTGCCGGTTTGACCAGTACTTTAGCATCGGAAAATAAAGGACCAATCGAAAGTGAGACGGATAGAGTCAAGTGTTAGACAGTACTAAGCTCAAAAATGCCATCAAGTCAGTGGAAACAAGTTTCGAAAGGTTGTCGGAATCTGTTTTCTCCCATCTTTTGTCTTCAAATACTACGGCCAAAATGTTTTCAGATATAACCCATCAACATAACGCCATACTTGCTATTGTCCAGATTTTTAGCGTTGATATGGATTCTTCCGATTTTGAGGAGCATTTCATGAGCTGCTTGAAGAGGTACACCGCAAACTACATTCTTTCTAAGATGCATGTCAGGGGAAGTTTGGTAAAGAAACTTGAAAGCATTTTACAACAAAAGAGGTTCAATAATTAAAGGCTTACCCATTGATTGTTTTTTTAGGTTTTATAATCGTATTGTTTACCCGTCGGCGGCAAAATGCAGTATCGCGAATATTGTGTTATATGAAACTACATTTACATAACTAAGGGCTGGTGTTTGTTCTTCTAAATAAGTGGGCTTTCAGTATATAGTCGATTTGAAAAACTTTGAAAGTTTACGCTCCTCCAGATTGGATGTTCGGTGAGTACAAAGTCATCAAAAAGTGCAAAACTACAAATGCAAGGGTATCTGAACTTGAACTGAAGAGCAATACTCTTCATCTACCCATCTTCATGCCAGTTGCCACGTATGGAGCAATGAGAGGAGTCAAAGTCTCGTCTATGCCAGAGGAGATAATACTCAGCAACACGTATCATCTCAGAAAACTAGGTAAAAACATTAAAGAATTTATGAAGTGGAGCAAAAGCATGCTTACAGATAGCGGTGGGTTCCAAATTCAAAGTTTACCTAACGTCGATGTTACGGACGATGGTGTTATTTTTGATAATAAGCTTTTCAGACCAGAGGACTCCATGGATATACAGATGTGCCTGGGCGCAGATATAATGATGCAGCTTGATGATGTTGTTAATCCGAAGGAGGAGCGGGCCAAGCATGTTAAGGCAGTTAAAAGGTCCATAGAATGGCTGGATCGGGCAATTATGCACATAGACAAGAAGCGTGATGAGCAAGGAGATCAGACAAGTGGCAACAGTAAAAAGATCAAAAAAGACTTGAGGATTCTTCCAATTCGCAACCAGGTTTTATTTCCAATTATCCAGGGTGGACTCGAGGAGGACTTAAGAAAAAGAAGCATTGAGGGCATTCTAGAACGCAGACCCATTGGAGTTGCCATCGGCGGGCTAAGCGGGGGAGAGGACAAAGGAGAATTCTGCAGGATTGTACTGTACTGCTGTAATAATCTGCCAGAAGGGATGCCTAGATATTTGATGGGAGTAGGATATCCTGAAGACATAGTAGTGTGCTGTGCACTTGGAGTGGATATGTCCGACTGTGTCTATCCTACTAGAACAGCTAGGTTTGGTCGAGCCTTCCGTGATGAGGGCGATATTCTGATTGATGGAAGAGTCCTAGGCGATTTAACTCCCATTGATAAAGACTGCCAGTGCAGCACCTGCAAGACATACAATAAGTCTTACCTCCTAACAATCAAAGGAACTCAGAACTTCTGCATGCTTGTGTCCATTCATAATATGCATTACATGAGAAATCTGACGCAAAGGATTAGGAAGTCTATTTTGTCAGATAACTTTCCGAAGTTTGTTAAGGAATATATGGAAAATAGATTCAAGGACGACATTCCACTATGGATCAAAGAGACATTGTCCAAATTTGGCATTAACTTTATTCAATGAAATTATAAACTTGATGCTGTGCATTTTTTGTAAGGATGGATTGTTAAAAAGCCCTAAGCGGGGCGTGTTTGCAATTCAGTAGTATTACATATTACATTCTTGTGTTGTGTCCTGTAAGTCAGGAATATGAGGATGTCCTTATGCAGGTTTGTTAAATTAACAAATAAATCGTTCAACAACTTGGTTTATTTAAAATGAAATAGGCTAGCAGCACCTAAACACCCTTCTGCAATATCCCCTCTCAAGCACTATGCCCAAGTTTGCATACTCTATCATCCTTTCAATTGCCTGCCTCACAGACTGGCTGTCGTTTGCAGAACATTGCACTATTCCGTTTAATTTGTGATGCTCAACAAAATCCTCTATTTCCTGTCGAGTGATTGCACTGCCAAGGTCGGCCTTTGTGAGGCAAAGTAGTATCGGAACCTTGGCCTTTGCACATGACTCTGCATACATTTCTGCAGATTTGAGTCCAGTCTTGTCATTGAGGGCAGTGCACACAACCAGTAGATCTGCATCCAGAAATGTCATTTCCTGCAGCTTTATAAGCTCCTTCGAACCTGATGTATCACACAAGCTCAATTTATATTGGGTTTCTTGTACTTCAATCTCCTTGTAGAATGCGCCAAAGAGTATGGGTTTTTTAGGAACAACAGGATGTCCATATAAGAAAGAAGTGATGAGCGAAGTCTTCCCGGTTCCAGTATTACCCATTAGTACTATTTTTATATTTTTTGGAGGACTCATTCAAGACAGGCTATAGAATCTGCAATGTTTATTTATTTCATCAACCAATATAGAGCGAATGGAAATACCATTATTAGAGCATCTACAAATAGACTAACATTTATAATGCGAACACGATAGCATGCCCTAGTATGAAGAACCAGTGGATATTTTCAGCTAAGGTGGGCAGTAAAGAGCTTATTTTCAAATTTAAAGTAGGCTATTGCCATTCCTATTTATCATCTTTTACGTGCTCATTTATACTCTCGTTTTCAACATTCTTTGGACCCCTCTTCTTTGTCCGGCCATGTCTGCAAGAGTGTCAATTATCACCCAAGTTGTCGTCGTGAAGGCACCAACTACAATAATCGATGTAGTGCCGTACGTACTTGTATTTCTAGTTTATGGACTCATGGTGCAGGTTGTTTTTGCATTGTGGAAGAAGTTTCACGAGAAGAGTTACAACTACTTCATTTTATCAGCAATACTTGCGTGTCTGCCATCAATATCATTTTTCTTTGGCAACTATGCTGTCTTGTTTCTCTATTTTTTATTTATTTCATTCATGGGCTATTTAGTTTACACTGCACTTAACTTCTCCCAAAAGAAAAATGGACCAAGAATTATCTTCAGAGCCTTCAAAATGATATTCCTTGTGACAAACCACGCAACCGTGCTTCTCCAGTTCTGCCTAATTGTATTCTTCGTAACAGGAATCAATAGAATGCTAGCTATTCTCAAACTAATGTCATATTCTATATACTTTGCCGTGCTGTCAAGAGAAATAGTCAGGAATATCTGCATATTCATGGCCAAAACAACAGGATACTATTCAAAGGAGGGTATACCTGGAAAGAAGGAAAATAGTGCACTGTGCATGATCTGCACACTTCCCTTTGATCAGTCGTCAGCCCTGGAGAAGGTTTTTTCCCTGAAATGTGGGCATTCCTATCACGAGGATTGCATAAAAGGATGGGCACTAATAGGGCAAAATAACTGCTGTTATTACTGTAAAGAGGGCATTGACAATAAAGTGTTCACACAGGATTATTGGATCAAATCTGAAATATTCATAAAGCCTATGATGAATGCAATGAGATCATTGATCGCCTTTTCGATTGTTGTTATTGGATTGGTCTATTTGAAACTGTTTGTGATTTCGACAAATACTGAAGAATAAATTTATTTAGATAAAATTTTAATTTGTGATGGGCTAGATATTTGATGGATTTGGCATCAGTTTGAAGCCATAGTTGTGCTCTCGTCGCATGTGCCAAGCAGTGCGGGGCATAGACGAAGTGTTGTGCATTACTGCTGCTTCTTTGCATTTCCTCTTTAAACTCCTTATTTAAATTAATCCTTTTTAAGCCCCAATGTCTGCAGGAGATAAGAAGGCTCTGACTAAGAACTCAAAAAATGCAACAGTGGCAGTGCCAACTACCATTCCAAAAGATAAATTCAAACTAACTAAGCTCGAAGATGGCTATAAGCTGTGTGCATCTGACGAGAAGTCACACAAGGATGAAAAGGGCTCTAGCAAGTCATCCTATTCATTTTATATTGAAGAGCACTATGGAAAGCCAGTGAAGGATGTCCATGGAAGCTTCAAGGAGGATGGACAGTACGACATCAGCCTTGCTTTTGAGGATGAATAAATTCCTTAATTAAATTGGCGTTTGTTTTGCTTTAGAGGGGATTCGGCTTGTGCATTCTTTGCGATCAAAATTTTCACCTCCGATATGCTTGTTCTGTTAGTATATAAATGTGATATTCTAAAGCACCCATCGTATCATGAACTCCCTTGAAAAGATTTTCAATTCAATAAAATCTTCGAATACAAGGGAAATGAAGCTATTTAGTACAAAAGAACTTATAAAGCAACTCAAAGAATATGATGATTACATCCTGTACATTCTCAAGAATATATATGCGCTGATATCGTCAGAAAATAGCCACAACAGAATGTGTGGTGCCAAGATCCTAAATTCACTCTCCAACTTTGAATATTCCTTTGACTTTACTCTTGAGAGTTCTTCGCAGACCACCGACTATGTATATCTCCAATCCAAGAGTATGGGCAATACCCAATTCTCAGACATCTCTAAACAAAAAAGAGAAATACAGAAAGCCTTAGATCTAGAATATGTAGATGCAGAGCTAATTGAATATTCTGATATTGCAGACAATGGCACTGTGAGGATAGAGTTGAAGACTGCAGAGTACAGGGAGAAACCCATAGAAAATGTATATGACTTTTTTGAGGCCATCAATTTGATTCTCCTAAGCCCAGACTGGTACAAAAGGCATGGCGGCTTTATTTCATACTGTGCTATTTTAGCATCAGCACATAATTGGAATTTTGATTTAGATGTGGGTATTACTGCGCAAAAGGGCGGGGGTGAACGCGGAAATGAAAGTGTGCGAAAAGACGACCGTGTTGGCAAGATCAAGATTACCCTGTGTGGCGATCTTTTCAACAAGATTTTTGAAATATTCAAAAACGATAAATTCAATGATTTTCAAGGCGACGTCACGTCAAGCCCAGTAAAGGAGGCTGCCAGTATACTTTTGAAGTATATCTATCCAATGATGAATAATAAGCTAATTTTGTATGAGATTACACACCTTCTTACATCCTCCGACTGGCAGGAGCAATTCTCGGCTCTGCTGGCCCTTTCGCAACTGAAGGAGCACTTTACACAGGATCTAATTGATGGTAATGGTTTGCTAGAAAATTTTATGGATCTTCTGATTGGCCTACTTGAAAGTGAGGATGAGGATGTCAAGTATCTAAGCGCAGATCTACTAGGATACATCGTTGAGAAGTTCAGAGTGAGCGACGTCAGTATTGGTCTAATAAAGAATAAGTGTTGGACGGAGGTTGAGAACGATGCTGCCATAGCACATTCTAAAGCATCTATTTTGGTTCTCCTCAAGATTATCTACTCCAAGACGCCTCTCACACCACCCTCCTCATTTTCCTGTCTCTATCCATGCTTTACATCTCCTACTGTCCTGATCCGTAACAGTGCTCTGGAACTTTCTAAGGTATTTGAGGGTGAAGAGTTTCTTTATCTCCTGGCAGAAAGCATCTTACTTGAGATGCGAGGTGACTACAAACATGCTGATATTTTGTTATTTAAACTCGATAGAGCCAAAGATGCATCGGCCAATACTTTAAGAGTGTTTGCTTCTCATTTTTTTAAAATTATTTCCCAGAGTCTCCACAAGCCGTACAGTGAAGATGACTTTGCATGCTATGACGATACTTTTTTTACATTGGATGGAATTAAAAGCATAGGGCCGGTAGTTGTTATGAACAATAGGGCCGTGCTACTAAATATTTTGTTAGGGGTTGGAGATGTTGAGTTTGAGGCAAACTCTACACTCCTTGGAGACACATTCAGACATCTTTATAACATTAATCATAATATAGACACTACGCCATGTGTTGGGGATAGTAATTTCACCACTGTTCTGCTAGGCAGCTTGGAGGATGCATTTAAAAAGTATTCTGCCTTGAAGAAGATGCCAATAAAGGAGTTCAAGACTATAATAGAAAACCCCATCCATTATTCACTATATTCGCTGTGCATTGACATATGCACAGAACTGGTAAGAATGAGAGCATGTGAGTGTATCTTTTCAGTTAACGATTTCCGAGAATATTTTATGCTTGAAAACTCCATCGAGTTTTTGAAAATTTTCTGCACAAATTTGATCAAATCCTCTGGAATAGAGGCTATTTCAAAGAATGCTATTGATCTTCTTATTTGGACCAAGACTAAGTTTAAGGTTATAAGCAAAGCAGCCGAAGAAGGGAAAACAAAGAGCTCTTCAAAGAGAGCTAAAACAGTCACGTCCACTGAAGAAGTAAAAAGCTACTGTGAAATTGTACATGAGCAAACTGTTCTTAATTTAAAAGTGTTTTTTGAGGTTCTTGGCTTGAGACTCCTCGAGTTTAAAAATTTTGAGGATCTTCTTTCCAGGCCAGATAGGCTTGTATTCTTTGAGGAATGTGCAGAGTTTTACTTTAGTAATGCAGGCGCAGTCGGCAATACTGTATTTGAAGAGGCCATGGCAAAGAAAAATGCAATAATCCTCAAAAAGGCCATTTCTAACATATTCTACAATTGCCTTTTTGTCAGACGAATCCTTCAGGACTTTGATATTTCTCTTCTTTCCGAGGTCATTGAATGTTCAGATCCTTGTTTTAATGTGCTATTTGTAAAGCCGATTCTTAAGAACATGCATTCCCAACATCATAAACATACAGTACCGGACGACAAGAATGATATTAAAAATGATACCAGCAGCACCACAAGCTTAAAACGAGAAGACAGCGGTGTCAATCTCCTATCACGTATTCTTTCTTCTCTACACTTTACCATCAATGACCAAATAAATGATCAATACCTTATTGATCTTATCCAAAAAGAAAAGGAAGAGGTCAGAATGATTGTAGATCCAAGCCTAATAGAAGAATATCAAATTACAATCCCACTATCTATTGAGCTAAGAAATTACCAAAAGGAGGGCGTGAAGTGGATTTCATTTTTGAGTAGATTCCACCTAAATGGGATTTTGGCAGATGACATGGGGCTTGGGAAAACAGTGCAGACGTTGTGCTATATTCTTAACGAGATGTATTCCAGTAGCAACGGAACGGCAAATGATAGCAAACATACTAACGCAGCACCAAATAAAAAAGTGTTGATTCTCTGCCCTGCTTCAGTATCTTCACACTGGCATGATGAAATTGAGAAGTTCTTTAATATTGAATCTTTCGTTTATAGTCCTAAAAGAAATGTCCAGAACAAGCTTTCTGACATTACCATAGTATCGTACGATACGTTCAGGAGAGACACCTTTCTAGACACGCTGTCCTGGTATTTCATAGTGTTCGACGAGGGGCATCTTTTAAAGAACAGAGCTACCGCCCTGTACACAAAGTGTAAAGGACTACAAGCTGACCATAAAATTATCCTTACAGGAACGCCTGTCCACAATTCCGTAGACGATCTGTTCTCTCTCTTCGATATTATCCTTCCAGGATATTTGGGAGATGAGAATACATTCAATTCCATGTATGGATGCAAGGTTAATGAGAGGAATGTGCAAGTAATGGAAAACAGGCTGGAGGCGCTCCATAAGAAGACACTTCCCTTTGTTATGAGACGGCTAAAATCTGAAGTGCTTGTAGATCTACCGCCTAAGATTATCAAGGATCTCAGCATCAAAATGAGCCCTGCACAGGAAGAGCTCTACCGCAAGATCAACCAGAGTGAGGACGAGTGTGACTATTCAAAGGGATATTCATCTCTGAAAAGCAATTCATTAGTAAGATTGAAGGACAGTCTTAAGGCTGCATCCCATCCCTTTTATTTCGATAAAAATGTTCCCTCATCTAAGACTGCCACTCTTCTTGAGTTACTGAATATGTGTACGAATTCAAAAATCCTTGTCTTTTTCCAGTTCAAGAGTACTATTGATTTTGTTATTGAAGAGACTCAGCTGGCGAACTGTTTGAGACTCGACGGGTCAGTGCCTGTGGGCCAGAGAGGTGAGGTTGTAAATAAGTTTAATACAGAAGCCGTCCCGTATCTCTTTCTAACCACCTCGATTGGAGGACTGGGTCTGAACCTTACAGCAGCCGATGTAGTGATATTCTATGAGCATGACTGGAATCCGTTTAATGATCTTCAGGCCATGGACAGGGCCCATAGGCTTGGACAAAAGAGGACTGTCAATGTATTTAGACTTATTTGCAAAAATACCGTTGAGGAGAAGGTAATGAACTACCAAAACTTCAAGCTTTACGTCGCCAATTCAATAATTACACAGCAGAACAACGAGATTCAAAAAATGGATACAAAAGACATACTTGAGAGGTTTCAACAGTAGCTACTGCCGATGTAAAAATAAATTTCACATTCCAGAAAGGTTATTTTCCGTTAGTTAGTTAAATGGCTACGTTCAGTTTGTTAACTGACCATGCGTCCTAAGGTGCCAAGGCCAACCTAGCCCAAAAAACAACCAATAGTATTAAATAAACTGGCCAGTGTCGGTGTCCTGCTATTTATTTACAATAATCAATTATTTATTTGTATATTTACTTTTCTGTGTTTTTGGTTTATTTTGTATGGAATCAGGGTTCCACTTCAACCATTTCCCTCCAATTCCCAAAAATACACTCCCCAATTCCTTAACGCTTTCTCCTTTTAGAACTGTCGCTTGCCAGTCCCTTGCCGATGACTTTTATTCAAATTTAATAGACTGGTCAGGTGATAAAATTTTTTATTGTGAGAATAATACTGTATTTCAGTACAATTTCCACACAGATAGCTATATTAAAGTATTTGAGGACTCCTCCATCAATGTATGTAGTCTGAAATGTATGAAGCAGTCTGATACTCTGGTTATTGGGTGTTCTTCGGGCATTCTTATCTGTTTAGACCTGGGCTCGTTGAAGAGCACAAGACATATGTTCCACAGGGGAAGGATAAGTGCAATAGAAATCATAGAAAATAGAGTATTAACGGGAAGCAGAGACAGAAAAGTAAAAATGATAGACTTCAGAAGCAAGAGTCCTGAAAAGAGCTACTCGTTCCACATGCAGGAAGTGTGTGGAATATCAGTCAATAACGACAAAAGATTTGTGGGCACTGGCGGAAATGACAACAAGATCATTGTGCTAGATTTTAGAAAGGACGACACGTACTACAAGAAGCTAGAGGAACACAAGGCTGCAGTAAAGGCACTTAGCTGGTCTCCGCTCTACAGTACAAAATTCATATCAGGGGGAGGGACAGCAGATAAGACTCTAAAGCAGTGGGACATTAATTTGGAGACTTCTTTGCAGCAGTCAATGTGCTTTGAAAGTCAAATTTGCAATGTCAAATGGCTGGAGAATGATAAGATTCTAAGTACATTTGGATATTCCAACGATGATATTAAACTTTTGAATGATTTTCAGGTTGAAAAAGTGTTTTTAGGACACAAGAACAGAGTCATACATTTTGCAGTTGATGATAAGGAGGAATTCTTTGTGAGTGGAAGCGGGGATTCAAACATAAACATATGGAAGATAGACGAGAAGGAGAGAGAAATAATAGTGAGATAGATTAAATAAAAATTTCTAACATGCTGATTCAGCTATTAAAGGATACTTTGTGGTTTGAGCAAGAAAGGCCTAGGCACTTGCAAAAAAAGAAGTAAATACATGTCAATACAAAATAATGCAAATAAAAGAGCCACTTAACTTGCAGCATTACACAAGTTGGCACATAAAAGCAGATCACAGTACTTAAGCTTATATTTGTATTTATTTGTTTGGCGGTTGAGGCTTGCTCTTCTTTATTACTAACGTTTCCTCTTTCGTCAAGAACCTCCCGCTCGGCGCTCTCAATCTCTTCATAGCGTGTCTGTGCCTACTCTCGTGTATGTAATTAGAATTTGTAGCCTTCATTAGCGAATCCAGGGTTTCTCTCCTCAGTCTCCTCTTTTTAATCCAAAAGACTTGTCTTGGATTGAGACTGCTTTCGACTCCATTTGAACTACTGTAAAAATCAGTGTCTAAGCTCACATTTGCATTCATGCCCACATTCACTTGAGGATACAATCCAGAGTAGTATCTGAGCAGCTCTTTTTCTCTTTCCATCATGTGAGATACATGGGTGAATATATAAAAAGCAAGTGAAACAAGTTTCAAAACACTTAACAAATATGTTGTATAGTTACCAGCACATAGGCTTTAGCTATTAGAGAATAAACAACACCACAGTTAACATTTTATGTTATGTTTAATTTGTCGCCGGAATCCTAACGTAGTTTCTTGATTCATGCACTTTGCCCAAATAAAATCCTATGATGCCTGAGATTCCAAGCAAGATAAGGAATACAACTGCGCTGAGCAGTGATACTCCCCCACTATGGTCGTCCTTGTCTAGATTGCCTCTTACAACATCCTTTAAGCTAGGGCTGCTATTCAAAGAATTAGTACCTTTGGCAGTGTTAGAATAAACAGGTTCCATGCTTTCGTATCCAGGTCTTACTCTTAGATCACTACGGTACCTTTCTGGACTATAGTCAATCTCAGGAAAATTGTACTGCACCCTTCTAATAACGAAAGGAGAGGAGAAAGCCCTGTAGGGATCGACAGTGTTAACCAGGTGTGAATGTATGATTAAATCCCTGTGGTCAGGCAAGGAGTTGAACTTCGATTGATGGATAGCAAGCAAAGAAGGAATAAAGAGAAGCATATTCATGGAATAGCTCGAGATTGGAAATAAATTCAAAAGCTGAAACATAATATTTATTTGAAACATTGAAGACCAGCAAGTGTGCTAAAATTAAGCGGGACACAGTAGGGAATATATCCGCGTGATGTTGGATTTGCAAACAAATAAACAAAAGGTAAATTTTGGTAAGCAAATAGAGTACTTAGTGGATAGTCCATCTGTTTTGCACTAAGAGGCATCATTGATTAAAGTACAATGTTTGTTTTAATTAAATTTTAATGTATTTTTGCAAACATCACTGTCTGCATACTTTATCAACACAGGAATTTTATGCTTGTAAATGATATGAGGCTTTGAACGACAAGCACATAATATGTGTTCCTTTCATTGCAATAGTCATGACATTTTATGATTTTTTTATGTTTTATTTTCTTTTTTGAATTTAAAAATTCCGATTTTTCCTACCCCATCGGAATGAAATTTAACTCAACAAAAACTATTATATCAATCTTTTCTCTATTGAAGCTAGCCGACTTGAGACTACCAGAATCATCTAGATCCGACACATACAGACCAACATTCTCAGCGAGCAGTGTCCCATATGATAGTCAGAAGGTTTCAGTACACGATGCCGAAGACCTTGAAGAGGACTATGACAGCAGTGAAAATCAAAGTTATCCCATCAGAAGTGACAGTAACAAAGCAGCATGCAGTCAGGCCAATGTTCCTTGCATTACATCATACAACATTAATATTTTCTCTGTTCTTTCAGAACAACTGAGTTTTGCCATTATCAGAGATCTTCTCAACGACGAGGATTTTGTTTATGTTCTTAGAGAACTAACTAAGCACATGTCCTACAACAGAGCGGAGATAGACTCGGCTATTGATGAAATTTCCTCGAGAATAACACTCAAGGATATTCGAGATCTTTTCTCGCAGAACATCAATGGGGAGCGTGTTCCAAGACCAGCGGAAGAGATTTTAGGCATGCTTTCTGAGGCAGTTTCTTTTTATTGTGCTGAATTTCCAGTTCTCGAGCCAATTTCATATTATTTAAACATTATTGTGGAGATAGCTCAAGACCGCTTCTCGAGGATTGTCAAGAATGATAGCCTGGCGGACATTTACGATGAGAAGTATGCCGAAACAATCTTTAAGCTCTTCCTTGTCAATTTGTACAACAACAATGGGGATGCTAGCATTCCCATCTTTTCCAGAGAGGCTGAAAAGCTGTTGAGTAAGGAACAGAAGAAGGAATTGAGCGAGAAAGTCATTGAGTATGTCAAATCTGGCCTCGATCCCACCAATGAGCAGAGAATAGTTGTCGATAATATCCGTCCATACTTCCTGAATCTTGCACAAAATATCTTAAGCCTTAGCAATCACCTCATTTCAGCCTTAAATGAAAAAGATGACGAGAAGGTTGACTATTACTTTGATTTGCTGATGGAGGAATTCAAAATGTTCCATGTTTACAACTACGGAAATTAAACATGAAAATTAGTCAATATTATTTACATCTTTATTTATGTAAAACGAGTTTATATTCTTTTGCTTCTTTACCTAGTGTTTGATCATCTGCTCATGCTGGAATAAAACAAACTCCATTTCGGCTGTGTTTATGCTTAAATTCTGCACTTTTATCCACCCCAATACTACAAAAAGATATGGAGAGGCTTGAGCTTTATCGCATCTTGAATGTACGGAAGGATGCTCCAAAAGATGCAGTAAAGCAGAAATATCGCAAGATGCTATTTGATTTGCATCCAAACAACAAAAAGACGGGAAATGAGAGCGCTTTTATAGAACTACAGGAGGCCTACAAAAGATATCTCACGGGCGATCTCTTTTCAAATTGCTGGGCTGTGGTTGAGAATAATCGAAAAGAATTTGAGTGCCGATGTGGAGGAATCTATAAAATTGAAGAGGGACGAGCAGGTAGGATCGAGTGCGAGTATTGCTCATGCTTCATTGAGGTGGAAGATCCCATTTTAAGATTGCACAAGAGCAAGTAGCTCCGCCAACTGGGTTTTGGCAAATCACACGCATTTATGCTTGAATTGGAAAGACAGGACATTTACAAAAATAAAGGAATATTTCAACAATCATGCTGTAGACATAAAATTAAAAAATCAAATATGAACAACTAGTAAATTGGTTTTAATCAGATTCGTCCTCAAACTTTAAAGGCTTTGGTGCTCTTATGCGCTTCTCGCAGTTCTTGGTCTTGTGGTTAGTCCTGGGATAAGTCTTGGATCCTTTCTCGCCAGGTGCTGGGCCCCAGTATTTGGCAGATTTCCTCTTATTTATGTCTCCCGAAATAAGAACAATGTTCTCAAGCGAGCCTGCCACTTTCATGAACTGATCAAGTGTTGAGATAGTTCCTCCGTTGGCCTCTATCTTCTTCTGGACACTCTTGCTCCACGAAAGTGCTACAAGATTAATGGAAGGAAACTCCATGATAGTTTCGTCATCAAGAATCTTCGCTACTATCAAAGGTGTCTTGTTGGTACTTCCCTCAAGATCCTTCACTACTTTTGAGATTTTAACAGCTGGCCTGCATCTCCTTGTTGTTCTGAGCCTCTTCTCAATTTGCCGTATAAGAACAGGACAGTTCTCAACCGAAGCATCGATGATCTTTTTAAAAAAGGCCTGGAGCCGTAGGAGATTCTTGTTCTGGCTTTTAGAGGCTTTAGCCCCACCCTTTGCTGAGAATGGAAGGGTCTTGTAGTCTATGGCTGACATGGGGGAAATTTTGTGAAAAATTTTAAGAAAGAAAAAAGTGAGAAATGAGACGACGCAGTGTTTCCAAGATGGGCCACTGCCTAAAATTCGTGGAATGCACTGAGACGAAGGCCTATGCTCATTCGAATAAAAGACAAGGAATATAGCACGGCAACGCACTTTATTTTACCTTTTGCTTATTAGTGATATGGCTTTGACTGACATTTCAAAATTTTTATATATGCAAACATCGTCACGACTAATTCTGTATCTAATAACAATTAATATAAGCACTATTAGCTTTATCAAAGAAATTAGTCCTTGATATTCCTTGAAGGTCTTTTCGCTGTAATTATTTTGCAGCTTGGATTAAAGTTTCCAAAAGAACCTCCACATATTCTACTATTTTCATTATCACCCCTGCCTTTTCTCTTGGCTTGTTCTATGGCTGCACCTTTTATGTCTTCCTTTTCGGGATGTTCTAAAGTAATGCTTTGATTCGTATTTCCTGGCTTCGTTGACAGATTGTTGAGCTTATTTTGATCCATCAATCGATTTTCAGATCTACTGTCCTTTTTAGTAAATAGATAGGAATGCCGATGATCATAGCTAAAACCACAAAAGCTATCTCTGTCCTGCTTTTTGTGATCAAGATCACATTCATTTTTGCAATATTTGTAGCTAGAACTATCAAAGTGATTTCTGCTGCCTTGGTCCATTTTCTTTCTTTCTGAATTGTCATTAAGCTCTTGAATTAGCGGTCTACTTCGTATCATGTCGCAGCCTATTAGTTCTGCATTGTTGTCACCTGCAATCTCTTTTTTTATCCCTTCAATTGAAAAATTTTTCAATTTGACAACAGCTTTGGACAGGGATTTAGCGTTTTCAGGAATTGGCTCTCTTTTCGGATCAATAGGAGGACAGTAAGAAAGGGTCTGAGCTAGGGAAGAAGGAAAATCATTCGGCTTTAGATACTCGTAGGAATGCATAGGCGAGGTGTTGAGACAGGTAATCGAGCTATTATCTAGTTCAGGACTTTCACTGTAGTTTTTTTCACAGGAATTATCATAGCTTTTGTATTTGGAATATTCATTTTCATTGAAGTTGCTGCTTGTGGCTGGGCTATGGATTTTTTTAATAAAGTTGAGGAACAATCTTGCATCATCAATAAGCTTAAACTCGTCTCTATTTGGACTGAGAGCCACGCCATGGTCGGAAGACGTTTTTCCCTTTTTACTATTTTTGACATCATATAGGCCTTCATCGTTCATTTTTATTCCGCCCCTGTCAAACTTGAGATGCATCACACCATCCATCGGATTTTCATCACACATTACTTTCTCAGGTATCTTGGCATGCGACTGCTTCGCTACTCTAACAGCCTTTATAACTCCAGGAATGTTTCCATCATGAGTGCTTCTTTGGTAAAGGTTCGGATTTGATATCGGTCTTTTTAACGATGCAAAACTCTGCAGACTTTCTGTAGAGTCTGGGTTGTGCTGTAGACTTGTTGTATAAATGCCATATGTTCTTCGATTATCGTTCCCTTCTTTCCTACCCTTTTCCATCTTCTTAAAATTCCTATCAATCATAGTGGGGCAATCACTTTTGCATTAAAAATAAAAAAGCTAAATCACACGATTGACGGATGATTTATTTGATATTAAATGAGAAAATGATCAAACAAGGATTATGAAATAAGTAACAAGAAAATATTGGAATTCAGAATGGCAGTATGTTTCTTGGAGCTGGCTAAAGGATGCAAGCGGAGTTTGCCAAATTCTTTGCTTTTTCAAAATAGATTTTGTAGACTTTTCCAAAACTGTCAAATCAATCATCGAGATTTAAAATATCAAGTAAATTAAAAATTGACAACAGTGATAGATCAAAACAAGGCAGAGATAGCTGATATTATAACGGTAAACAATATTCAGTAGTAAAAATTTTGTTTTGTTATCATGGATGTAGATGCATCGAAAATGCATCAATCATGATATCTGAACAGTTGATACGAGGTGCAGGCTGCAATAGAAAACGCTATATGCTCAGTTCTTAAATGACCGCAAGTATTTTATAAGGTTTAATAAAGATATGCCTAATTAAATTTAAAGCACTACAGTGTTTATCCTTAAATTTTATGTTGAGGGACTAGATTCAACTATTGGAGCTGAGCAAAACGAATAGCAGTCTACAAACTAGCTTTAAAGCCAATGCTGTATTTCAAATGCTATTTGCTACAATATGTACCCTAAAGCATTGTATTAACAATTTTTCTTTTTCATATTCTCCATGGAATTTGCAGAGTAGTGTTCAACTCCTACGGGATACTAATACAAAATAAAACAAAATTGAAAAGACATGACAATAATAAAATATTTTCTGGGACTAGGTAGCCGTTGATGAATAATTTAATGGATTGGAAGTAAATGAAATCGTGCTTGGCCACAAGTCATATTTCAAGTAAAGATTTGCTAAGCCTGCAAAGCATAAGTTTCACTAGACCCTAAAAACCTGGTAAAATAATACAGCATCAAAATGGCATTTGCATCAGGTCCAAAAAAGCCATTATGGTTTAATTTTTTTTGGAAAGCTTCTTTTATCCATCATGCCCTGTGACGGCTGTAGAGTTCAAGGAGATTTCAACCCATGAGGAAAAGACAGAGTTCAAGAATATGAACAGAGCAATCTTTCCTGTGGTATATGATGACGAGTTTTATGACACAATGCTGTTTAGAAGCAGCTACCATGCAGCATTAGTTTACTGCAACAATCAGATAGTAGGAACGCTATCTTTTGAAGTTAAGAATCGGGCAGTCTATGTTTTCACATTTGGGCTGCTGCAGAGATTCAGGGGGATAGGCTTAGGCGAGAAGATATGGACCAAGGTGGAGGATATCTTTAAAACGACGTTTCAATGTTGCAGAATACTTCTCCACACCCAGACATCTAATTTAAAGGCTGTTGATTTTTACAAAAAACACGGTTTTATTATTAAAGAGACAGTCAGCGAGTACTACGAAGGACTCCCATGCAACGCAGCCTACTTGTTTGAAAAATACGTATAACTATCCGATTTGTATCGGCATTGATAGCTCCATATAGCTTGTCTACAACAGCTAGTGGACAAGCTCTATTATTGCGTCAGCACAAGCTGCTAAGATCCAACTGACTTTCCAGACATTCACGCAGCTTTCAGCACTGTGGAGTATGTTTTGGTGGCATTGGAATTGCACACATTTACTAAAAGTTTCTGTTCTGCGACCTCCTGCAGCTTACAAATGGGCTATTCTCTATATAGAATCTAAGATGCATCTCGCCCCATGCCCCTGCATTTTTAATCCCGACTCTTTTGGTGGCTATTACTTCATTTTCTCCCACTGATCTTCCCTTCTCGAGCCATATTTTGTCACTAGTTACCACGTTCTCGCCATTTATCTCAGACCTGGTTATGGCCATTGCAATGCACAGCTTGGAGGGGCCATTAGATATGTTCTCTATGTTCTTCTTATGCTCCTTCATTCCAGCAGCCTCTCTATGCTTGATCATCATGTCTATTCCCTCAAGCGGCTGGAGGGCTCTGATAAGAACGGCGGATCCTTCTTCTCTCGAGGATATGTTGAAGCAGTGGTGTATGCCGTATATGATGTAGACATAGCAAGTACCCATTCCCAAGTACATTGCCTCGTTGCGGGGAGTTCGTCTTCCTCCAAAGGAGTGAGCTGCTTCATCCTCCGGGCCTAAATATGCCTCTGTCTCCACGATGATGCCCTTCAGTATTCTATCCGACATTCTTCTGCACAGAACTTTTCCAAGAAGCATCTTTGCCAGATGGATGCAAGATCTGTGCGCCGTTTTGAAAGTATCTTCTTTGTGATCCGTGGAATCCATGGGTTGATGGAAGTAAATGATTGCATTCTATATGACAGTACGGTTATGCAGTGGCATTGCTCAGAGGCAAGAGCGTAGAGTATTACCAACAATTAAATTGATTTAAACAGTATACAGTTTTTGAGGCTGCGGAACAACAAATCTTAAGATATTTTATTGTTAGTGAGCTGTGCACTAACTACTCTAGTGTTATTTATCCAAGGATTCGCATTTAATGAGTCAGGAGTGATGCACCGGAATGACTTGGCATCTGTCAATATACTAAACATTTTCAAAAACAATTGTTAAGTAGTGGAATTTAATCACAAAGATTTATCAGCACAGTGGTGATTAATGCTGACATTGCTCTTTAAATTTGGAGATATGTCATTGTGATTTCCTGTCAAATTTGAATATTTAAAAATTTTTAACCCATACCCTAATGAATATTCTACAAACAAGAAAGGCATACAAGGCAATCTGCATTCTAGTTGCATTTGTGGGAGCTACACTTCTTAGCACATCCAGTGGAGTCAATCCAGATTTTTGGAGCATTCAAAGCCCGATCCAGTTGGGCATGAAGCTTGTACGTCTCAAAAGTGTCTGGAGGATATGGCCTACGAATTTCCATTTCCCAAAGACATTATATCTCATCATGCTATGATAGGAATGCTGGAGAGTCTACGGAAACTGAATCTCAGTGGTAACAAACTCGAGACACTACCACATAAGATAGGAAACCTGAAGCTTTTAGAGATACTAGATCTCCGTAATAATGAATTCGAAACACTACCACCAGAGATAGGAAACCTGAAGGAACTAAGTATATTGCATCTCAATGATAACAAATTTGAGATACTACCATCTGAGATAGGAAAGCTGAAGAATTTAGAGGTACTGTATCTCAATGGTAACAAATTTGAGACACTACCATCTGAGATAGAAAAGCTGAAATATCTACGAGAACTGGATCTAAAAGATAACAATCTCGAGACACTACCGGATACTATAGGAGAACTGAAGAATCTGCAAAAACTGGATCTCCGTAATAACAAATTTGTGACACTGACTGGCACAATAAGAAAGTTGTCGGATTCATTGGAAATTCTGGATTTAAGAGGCAATAACATTTCTGAAGTTGGAGATGGAGAAAAGACTCTGGGTAAAAAAGAGCTGGGAGAAATATTTGGAGATCGTGTCAAGCTTGATGAGGATGTCTCACAATGGTCTTTGTGGGAATATCTTGCAGGGTTCTTTGTGAATTTATTGTAATAAATTGTAAATTTGTTTGTAAACTTGGGGTGGCTGTGTTCTCTTTAATCAACGCTCTGGGTGTAGGAAGAATTATTTAAGTTTTTATTTTCCATACACCATGGTGTTGTGAGGCGGGCTCATGCATGTTGTTCATGTATCTTTAATAGAGAACAGTAATGCGTATCTTCAAGGGAATAGGAGACAGCAGAGCCAGCTGCACTGCTGATGCTAGTTATTGTTGAAGAGTGTGATAACAACAGTTCTACGTGGCATGCTTGGATTCTTGTCCAGTTGAGGAGAGTGCATGATGAGAGATTGTGGTGTAGCAGGAGCAACTAAGAGGACATGCAAGAGGACTTTTGAGACATATGGATGGCTATGGATTGGTACAGTCCTGAGCAAAGGCTATTTGAGTGCTGTAGCTAGGGTTTGTTTATTTATGAAGTGCACAAATAGTATCGCCTAACACATCACCGGATGCCAATGTCAGAACCATATGGCATCTCAATAGTAACTATACTCAGAGAACATTTGTGTAGAAATAAAGTTGAAAGAGTATTAAAGATCAATTTAATTAGTTCTTGACCTCCGACTCATTCTCTTTCTTCTCACCTGGCTCAACAAGCTGGATACATACTTTTTGCAGTTCATCTTTCATATTGCTGAATGGATAGCGTAAATATAGCTTATCCAGACCTATTTTCATGGATGGATTTGGAAAAACCTTTTGAATTCTTGCATCAATGCTTGATATAGGGTTTCTACACAATATCAAACGCTTCAGGTTTGGCATAGTTCTGTATGTATCGGTCTTAGCATCAAAATAGCTTTGAAAACTGACATGTTCAATTTCATTATCATTCAGATAAAGGTATTCAAGACCTGTGAGGTTATGTAAGCATGGCATCTTTGTCAATCTAACGTAGGCCAAAGACAACACTGTTATCTTACTAAAATCTGGACTATTCAGTGCAGCAATATCAATTGTCGCATTTGATATCGCCAAGTTCCGAGTTCCACATTGATCAGCCAGGAACCTCAATGCTTTGATCGGAACACAATCACATCTTAAACCTGATACTTCGATTGAATAAAGTTTAGATCCCCATAGGTATGTTTTAGATTTTTGAACAGCTTCCTCTTTGGGGCTACCATCTTCATTTAAAGGACCATCATATATCACTAAAGTGCAATAATTATACAATCTCTTTGCCACAACTTCATGAATATCAGCTTTATTGCTTAGATAGTCTTCATGTTGAGCAAGATTCAGATATCCAAAGTATTCATTGATTATTTCAGAGATTTCAGGATGATTCAT